TGACCATCATCAACATGTCAGTGTATTTCTTTTATAACTTTTATTAAATATCATGTGCCAAACTTTCTATTACAAATTCTAAAATTGTTTCTGAAATTGAGTATTTTTATGATTTCCCCATGACATTTCACAGATTTCAATATTTTTAAATGTAGGGACATTCATAATTTCATCTTTCAACAAGGTGTAGTTGCATGCATCACATAACATTATGCAGTTTTAATAATACTCTTTCAGAAAGGTTGTTTTAATATTAACCTGTTGGATAACTTTTAATAACTTGTAAAAGCTCACTCTTTGAAGCTTTAAATAGACTCTATGCCCACTTAAAAATAAACAGCCGATTTGCAAATAAATTTGATTAAGGATGTGGTCAAAAGGACTCCTATTACCACATATGAAAGGGACACTCCCACCTCTGTGCAACTCTGCGTTTATCGTAACGGAGACTTACTCATCTCCATCTGGACAGATGCCTGTGGTCTCATCGTATTTCGTGCAGTAGACGTCGGGGCTGTAGTTAAAAGTCCCGTCTCTCCTCCTGATGGGTCGCCTTCGCCGCTGGTTTAGAAAATGCCAGTGAAAGCAAGTAAAGGGTCTGTGCTGCGTACACTTGTGCTGGAGGAACAACGGGCACTGCTCCGTCCTGAACTCCTTCAAGTATCTGCGACAACGAGAGGAACAAACCAAAGTAGTGTCGTTAGCCGAGCTTAAGTACGGGTTTCCAGTCACCACCGAGTGGACGAAAGCAAAAGGGAAAAACACCGTGACGCGTCGTGTTTGCTTGGTCGTGCTGTAGCTTACTACTACAGAGTATTTTGGGTCGCTAACGTTGGCTCCGTTATTCTCAGCGCTCGCTACGCATTGTTTTCCACGTAGCACTTGTTCACAACATCTGAGCGTACGTCTATAACTGTGCGTAGAAAGAAGGAACTTAAAATAAGGCCGAGCTATTTACAAGCAGAATGGTTAGCGAGTTCTTGGCTAATCATTTAGCATGCCGAGAAGTCTGAATAATGCTTAATACATAATTTAAAATTTGATTCAAAAAGGCGAGCCATCCAACAACGGGCTGTTCGGCAGCAAAGCAAATGAATACGTCCGTCTTCCCTGTCTTGGCGCTGGTGTTGTTAGCAGTCGTTGTTTGCCATGTAACGTAAGGCAGTCACAAAGCCAGGAAAAGCACCATGTTTTTAACGCACATACGAGAGTTGAGGAATGCCAGACGTGCAAACGCGTAAAGGTGCATGCCCAGCTGGCATTTTTTACAACAATTATTTTCCCTAATACTTCGCAGCAGCGTTACTCACGTATAGTGGGTAGGTTTCTCGGTTTGAGGAGACGCATTGGCCGCCGTTTTCGAAACCGACGGCATTTTCAGTCAAAACAATGAAGTGCGCATGCGCTTGGATCTGTTGCTCGTCTGCAGGCACGTCCGCCTGCACGACAACACTGCGAACGGCCATACGGACGTAAGGAAGCGCAGAAAAACATCAGAAAAATACGTTTTGTCGCTACCGAATAGGGCGTATTTTTTATTCTTTGAGTGGACATATTTATTTATAGTTCAATAAATAAGTAGTTGTCACGTAAATTGCTTAAAGTTGCTGAAGTTATTTAAATCACACGACCTGATGAATTATCATGTATGAGCTGTTACGTTTCAGTTTATCACGTGACATTTTCCTTTTTGACTCAAAAGTGTTTTACAGCCTCATTAGAAAATAATAATTCATATAAAGTTATTTGTGAATGTCTTCATGGTGTTACGGAGCACATTAAATATAGCAGGCGTTCTTGTTCTTCAGCTAAAGGCTGAAAGACAGCAAATGTAAAAGCAAATCCTGCCAGGACAGCTGAACTTTATTTCTGGTTCATCTGACTTCAGTGAATACTGAACCTAAATTAAATAAAAAGATGCCTCAATAAACCGCAAATTAGTGGATTTCTATCTTTTGGGAGTTTTCTTTGTTAAAGGTTTCTTTTTTTCAATTGGCACATGCAGGATATGTATGCAACAGCATTCTAAAATGAAAACCAGGTATTTTAAAATAGGTGTATAAAAACTATTTTAAAATAGGTGTATAAAAGCTATGATTTTAGGAAAAGAAAATGAAAACAATAATAATGATAATACAGACCTTTGGGCACTTAAATAACTTAGAAACATCATAATATGTAATCATCAGTCATCAGACTGATGATTAAGTCTGATGACTTAATCATCAGACTTGCATGTGGAAAACATGCATGTTTTCCACTTCAAAAACATGCATGTCTTTTTTCAAGAAAACAATTTTGTTTTTTAATTTCTTTAACCTGCTATTTACTGTAAAAATCAATATGAAACTTGAGACTCTTTACTTCCTCTATGCATCCAATTTCTGTTCTGTTTCTGTTTTCCTTCTGAATCTGGAAGGCCAATCTGTTCAACACTTATTGTTCTGAGTGGTTTAAATATACAAATGCAATTATGTGTCGGATCTATTATTCAGTTGTTGAAGTCCACTGGTTTCACATTCTTGTAATCATGCATAAGCCTTGGCTTAACTTGTCGTAATTGCTTTGACAAACCTCACCCAAGCTCAGTTTACAGTTTGACAATGTCCAGCACCTTTTCAGACTCCACACAAACATTTAAAGGTGAACCTTCATACATAAAACAATGTTAAGGTGTATAATTGAAGCAGCTCTACAGAGCATATTCTATTATCTTAAAAATACTTGAAAGACACAATCTGCTTTAAGTCCTAAGAGACTAAAACACAAACTAAGAGGTTTGGTTCATTTTGCTTTGCAACAGCATCATGCAGAAGAAAAAATGTCTCACACTCCTTTTTTTTCTTCTTGTGACGTCAGCCAACACAAACCCTTAACCTTGCTCAGTAGTCTCAGCTGTTCATAGAGTCCAGATTCAAGCTCTTCTCACAGCCTGTCAGATGAGCCTGTTTTCATGCAGATGTGTGTGTATGGCAAAGGTGATGGCTTGATTCTCCTCAAATTCTGAACGTGATCACAGAGAGTCCTGTTCATATCAATAACCTTGACAGCCTGCATTGCATTATTAGTTGAATGACTTCCTGTAGCCAGACCTCCACTGGTGCTTATAAATTATTGCACACCCTTTAAATGTGATTACTTTCCAGTAGCTCAAATAGATTTTGAAGGACCAATGCATCCTTAAAAATGTGCATAAATTAAAACAGAAAATTTTACAACCTAATTAAGGCAGTAAAACTGTTGTGTGTTAGAAAGATTTATGCTACTATAAAATATCACTCTTAGAATGATGCACTGCAGTGAGTTTTGTAATTTTCAATCACTGAAAGAATCCTAAACATGGTGTTCCCAGGACATGTACAGCTGGAATAACAGTTTGTGGGTTGGACTACTGTTTTTCCCAGTCAGAGAAAAAAATAGAAACAATAAAGTGTTTTTGTATTCTTACTGCACGACACACTAGCTACTTTTAAATTGTATAAACCAGAAAATAGAACTATAAATAATCTACTAACCTTAACAGATACAAATGTTTTTTTTTTTTTGTTTTGTTATTTTTTATTTTGCATCAGCTTCAACCTCTGAGTTGGTTGATGTGGAGGTTTAAATGTTTGCTACCAATAAGCCATTTTTTCTGCAGACAACATTTGATTATTTTTAATAAATGGTAGGAGGATCGGAGCAGTCCAGAACTGCACAACTAACCCAAAGATTTTATGTCAGTTCAAGCTGGTCTATTTTGTGGCAAGAAGAAAAAAAAAAGATTCGGAAATAGACATAACATAAAACTATGCAAATAAATTATGAAATAGTGCTAAAGAAAAACTTAATGACTGCCGATTTGTGTTTGGAAAAATGCATTATTATTTTGCAAAGCAGCTACGTTTGAACACTGATAGATCTGTTTTTTCAGTCTTTATTTCTCCATGCCAAACAACACCTGCCTCTTCTCACCACCCTCAACCTAACAAGATCTGACAAAACAGATCAACAGCCAGCTTTTTATTCACTTCCATATATATATATGTGTATATATATATATATATATATATATATATATATATATATATATATATATATATATATATATATATATATATATATATATATATATATATATAATATTTTTTTACAATATGCTTAAACATTTGTTTTTAATTTAAGATCACAGAACAAGAAAACAATGCGGTCAAAATTTATTAAAGGCATCAAAGGTTATGTCATCTCAAAACTTGACAGTGATTAAAATTTTCTATAAATAGTAATAAAACAAAGGTGATAACCTACACAGCATACAAAACATTGTGTTTTTAAGGTGTTTAGGCAGTTATTTCTGGAAAAGTGGGAACAGCTCAGGGATGTGAACGTTTATTTGGAATCGTCTCGGCAAAGTTTGACTATATGATGATATTCTGTTCAAGAAAACAAAGTTAGAATATTGTGTAAGACAGACACATAGACAATACAGATTATATTTGCTGTGTCTTTGACTCTTCTGCGTTTGTGAGGCTGCATACTCATAATTCACGGAGAATGTGGATGGTACACATGTTTAAGCTTCTTGCTAAAGGCAATTTTTACTTTATATACTGGAAGGGACATGTGGTTTTGGTAATTGAAATGACCCTTCCAGCTCCAGTAGCTCAAATAGATAACATGATTAGATTCACTGTGATGGAACATTTCCTCTATGAGATGGCCTTGGCTATGAAGGAGCCTCTGATTTCTTACAGGTGATGATACAGGAAGTGTTCAGGGAGGTTTGTATGTTGAATTGCAACATACAATGCTTATTTTTTACTTATTCTGTGCAAAAGCTTTACTCTTTGTTGTTAGAATCAGTTCTCTTTATCTTTGCCACACCAAATGCTTGAAAGAAAAACAACTTTAAGTCAAAAAGAAACACTTCAATACACTCAGCTTATCTTCTTAAGAATACACAAAAACTCGTCTTTTTATTCCTACTTGAGAGGGGTTTTTTTGTTCATAAAGCGAGCAAATTATCTAAGGCACAACCGAATGAAGCTGAGTAACTCTAAAAGAGAATAACAATTTTACTTGAATATGAAAAATTTCATGGAGTAAATTTATTTAAAAACTGTTCTAGTTATTTCAGTCACACTTCTGAAACTTTCTCCCTGACAGGGAGGTGTAAATCAAGGCTGTGGTGGCAAAAGCGGTTCACTACTGACCAGCCAGCCTTCTGCTTGACAAAGAAACGCAACTTGTCCCTGAAGGTTTCTCCGAGAAAGCTGTAGATAATGGGGTTGAGGCAACTGTTGGAGAATGCCGCCAGGTTAACAATGTGACCTGTGAGTGGGTAGTCGTGCCACAGGGTGGTAGCAGTCCTCTTCGATGGGTTGGCTGTGCCCTGCAGCAGTTGGATGCTAATAAAAACATTCTCTGGTAGCCAACAGATGAAGAACACCAAAACCACCACCACAATCATCCGCAGGGCTTTCTGCCGCCGGTGCCACAACCCACGGTGCTTCTGGGCTCTCATGAGGATTCGAACAATCAGGGAGTAGCATAGACCAATAATGGAGAAAGGGACCAAAAAGCCAATGGTCACCTCCAGCCACTGGATCTCAAAGACATTGGCGAAGCAAAAATGCACTTCACCCCTGTGTTGAGTTTGTACTATTGTGAAAGGCAGGAGGGTGGCAAAGATGGAGGCCATCCAGATGAGACCACAGCTCAACTTGGCGTGTTGCATAGTTCTCAAAGGGCAGCTGCTCATGGAGCTGGCCAGGGCGATATATCTGTCAAAACTCATCCAAGTTAGGAAGAAGATACTGCTGTACATGTTGATCTGGAGGAAGAGGGACATGAAGGTGCAGAGGACAGCGTAGTCATAGTATTTTTCATTTAGGTTAAAAACCTCAATCAGGGAATCTGCCACCAGGATGAGGTCAGCCACAGCCAAATTCACAAAGTAGAGATCAGGAATGGTCATCTTCTCTCTGTGGGTCAGGTTTACCACCAAAATCAGGATGTTCCCAATAAATCCAATTGGAAAGAGAAGGATAGTGTACAGGCAGGATAAGAAGAGGCCAATCATGTAAAACTGGTATTTTTCATAGTTTTCACTTGTGCTGTTTCTGAATGAAGTGTTCAGTTCCTCCGTAGTATTATTATATATCCAAATCAAAGCAGATGACCTCCCTTCCATACTGATTTTGGTCAGTCTGTTTTAGATCAAAAGTCACATGTAAGTCACATCCAGCAGCTACATCATGACACCATGCCAGTTCCCAGTTTTCTCTCTTTGAAGGGAAAGTCATCTATGCTGTATTGACATGCTGACAGAAGTCAAGCTAGTAAAACATGTTTTGAATATTTGACTCCATATTGGCATCAAGTTTCATCTGCCAGTAAGCTTAGGATGAAAAACAGAAGGACTTCCATGTCTTGAAATCAACTTTGACCTTCTCCTCGGATGAGGTACATGGTTCCAATTGTTGAACGTGGGATCGGGAGATTAAGAAGGGGTTTTTTTTCTCCTCTTTTGAGTCATCTGATTGGAGTGCTGCTTTGTTCCGTGGATCTTTATTCAGTGAGAAAAGCCTTGAGATGCGACTGCTGTAACGCCTAAGCTGTGGAAACAATACCAGGGAAGTAATTAGAGAACAAAACATTTAAAAATCAGCAATCACGAACCCATGTTAATCAACACTTTTTAAAAAATTAACATTATTTGCAGTCAGCTTGATGGCGGCTTTTATAAGGTAGAAAAAAGATAATTGCAAACTCTATGAGCACATTAACATTCATGTTTTGGACTTAAACAGATGCATTGAAATCCTGCTTTAAAATCCAGACAGTTCAAGCCCCCTCCAACCTGTCTGTGCAACTTGAGGGCTATTTGTTTATAAAATGAATGAAAAAAGCATATTTACTTTTAATAATTCTTGTTTTTGAGCTTGGCATTCATCACATGCACGCACACACATAAATACACATACACAGTCTAAATCAAATTTGTTTTCTATTGAATACATACAGGATCATCTTTAGACCCAAAATTGCAGACTCTTCCCATAATATCATCTTGTATTTGGTAAACATGACCTTTGATATTTACAGTCTTGTGGGATTTATTTATTCCTCACAGAAGTAATTTAAAACCGGAACAATAAATAAAAGTATGAATGGTTTGGAAGTTGTAAGAAATAAAATATTTATTCATCAATTTTTTTCAAATTCCTTTTGGCAATCTTTGAAATATTCAATAAATAAAAGTCACACTTTTTGTTAGTCAATCATGTTGGTTAACTACAAAGAACATAGACCTCAAGTACGTCATAAGAACTTCTATAGTAGTAGAATGACTTTTATTTCTCTTTTTAACACAAATACTCTCTTAACACTTTGTAAGGGCAGTTTCCTTTGTAATTTTAGTTTGTTTCCCACCAAAGAAAAGCCATTACATAAATATTCTCAGAGAAACTGCAATTAAGAGCTCCAGACATTTATTACAGAAAATGACAGCTAGCTGATAAGATAACCTTAAACTTAAGTGGCCAGTTCTCTCAAGACAAGAAACAAACTCCACCTTTCTTCATTTTTTTGTGTATCTACAGAATGTATAAAGAGGATACTGTTTTTAATCAGACTTACTTTATATTTAGGATGTATTGCTTCTCCATGGTTGTCCAGTGAAGAGTCAGAAAGCCAAAGATTTGGAAATCCCACATCCAGGCTTCTCTTCTGCACCACCTACCGTTTGGCCCAGCCCTGCCTGGGGATGAGAGGAGGGCGGGGAGAGGCAGGGAGGCAGAAGATGAACTGACTCCCATGTTTTGCCATCATGCTTCATCTGCCTGCCTTCATTTGTTCATAGTTTTAGTGTCTCAACACAGGGGTTGAACAGAGAACAGCTAAAATCTTCAAAATCTGCATGCTGATTATAACACAAAACAAAGTCTGATCAAGATGTAGGTGCTATAGGGAGTTTGCTTTGTGAGGTTTGTGTTGTTGTATTTGTTCACCTGGATTGCCCAGCTTTTAATGTTACAGGCCATGTAAACACATGCCTTGCGCCCTTGTTTTTGCAGCCATATGCTAGCATGATAACCAAAATTTGACATGATGTCATTATGCTGTGATGGAAAAGTCACATTTAATGTTTAATTAAATATGATGTTGGGTGCAACAATCACGTTTAGATTGAGGGATAGAAGGTAAGCTTTCATCCTCAATCAGTGCAAAATAGAGCAGGCTCTTTGCTCCTGGCCAGGCTAACACTAACACATCATAATTCAAACTACATTATGTGTCCAGACGGAGACCGCTGAGACCAGTTGTTGTGGACTCAGAAGGTGTATTGAATTTTTTAACAATTGTGAAAGATAAATGAGGATGGGTACATTGACTGTAGACAAATAATAACCATCTGCTTTAACTGAGAAATTTTTAGCAATGTTGAGCAGAAGTACAGCGCATGAAGGAAGTATTCAGAGAGGGTCACCTTTTCTACAGTCTGTGCTACAATTTTACTTCAAAATTAATTTTTATTAAAATTTCTATACAAAATGTCTGATAAAGAGCAAATTAAAAGTTTCTTCTTCTTTTTTTTTTTTTTTTACAAATTTGTTGAAAAAAGTAAATACTCACAGACGAGATCACGTCACAGAAAATTTCAATCAGGTGCATCCTGTTTCCACCGATCGATCATCCTCAACAAGTGTATGATCACCTCACCTCTGCTGGGTCCATTATTAGAACAAGATCTAGAATGGGGCACGCTTCTCTACATAATGTCTCATAGTTAAAACTGCATGTCAGAGCAGAAACCAAGTAATGAAGTCAAAGGAACAGGATTGTGTCAGGGCATGAATTTGAGGAAGCACGCAAAAAATATTTTGGCAGCGCTAAACATCCTGAAAAACACTGTGGTCTCCATTGTTTGTAAATGAAAGAGGTTTGGAACCACCAGCACCCTCCCTAGATCTCACTCCCCAACCAAACTGAGAAGAAGTGCCTTGATCATAGAGGTGGCCGTGTAGGCGGACTTCCAGTAGTACATAGTGGAGATGGGAGAACTAAAGCACTCTGCCAATCATGTCTTCATGGTAGAGTGGGCAGATGGGTGTGGCATTCTGCTGGAATTTTGCCAGAAAGTCTATTGTCATTTCAGGTATCAGGATTTTGGGGAAAAGAGGGGCTGCTCATCAACTGATTGTCAATATCCGAACTTTCAAGCATGGTGGTGGCAGCACCATGCTATGGGGAAATTAGTTTATGCAACAGAAATTAAGCTAGTAGTCCTAGAAAGTGACATAGTATCAGGCAAACAGAGAGAGATTTTCAAAAATGACCCAAAGTACACTGCAAAGATAAGAAATAAGTGGCTTCAGGAGTAACCTGTCAATATCCTTGAATGGCCCAGATGAACTGAATTCCATCTGGGCCATTCAGTGGACATGTTGACCCAGACCTGTCTACCAAAACTATTCTTGCAATCTGAAAGGACTTGAGTGAGTCTGCAGAGAATGGTGGAATGATTGTAATAATTGCAGAAACAATCATTGCATTATATATACATATTTGATGTATATATCAAATATGCTATAAACAAACAATGGTCATAAGACCTAAACCTGTCACTAAGTTTAAATACATATAGAGGTTGACAGATTGCTTCACTGTTGGATTTTTTTTTTTTTTTTGTTGTTGTTCTTTAAGAGCAGTGTCTTGATGTTTTGCTGCAGGCACTGTACTTGCAGGTTTGTTTGGTTATTTGTGTTCTCTTGTCTACAGAAGCAAATGTTAATCTTCACAAAGCAGAGCCTGCAGTGTCAAACTATATTCCAACACCTGCTGAGATAAATGACACCATATTGCCCACATAGTTTTGGAAGATTTTAGCCAGAGAAATGGATATTACATCTAAATCACAACTGGTTCTTGTTTGAATTTCATCCAATTTCTCTGGTGTTGCTATTGATTTCTTTAAATCCTTGATCAGTCTTTCTATTGTTTTTTTCCAGTAATTTTGGAGAAATATCAATTTGTAGCATTATGATTGTTGCCAGTCAGTTTTCACAGTTGTGGGAACTATCTCTACTGTGACATTGTACTTAAATAAGACTGGCTCTTTTGTATGCTTCTTCTGACTAATAATACATTTGTACAAGAGCCTATTGATCCTTTGTTCACTGTGTGCAAACTATGCCTTTAGCTATGAAAGATGGGGACAAAAAATCAAGAAACAAACAATACCCCTCTCCATTTCCTCCCCTCCCCCCAAAAAAACAAAACAAAAAAAACAAAAAAAAAAAAACAGGAAAATTCAGCCAGGAAAGCAGTGCTTTGCTTCATGTTAAACATATTCAGTACAATGGATAGAGGGAACTGAAGAAGGCAGGTTGTTTTTCAGCAATCAGTAGATGCTGTGACAAAATATTAATTTAAGAATGTGCACCCTCATATAATCAGAGAACTGCAGATTTTATTTTTTTACACCCACAACAATAATGTGTATGTTTTTAGTTGCTTTTATTTTCAGTTGTACAGGTTTTCAGGTTGGTTATCGCCGCATGTTTGTGGCGCTTTAACATGAATAAAGCGCCACAATAGCTACTCATAGCCTCGAGTAGCTATTGTTACACAAGGTTGCAATGTCTCCTTATGACCACAAGAGGGCTCGCTGACATAAAAAGTGAATATTTTTGCTGGCGTGACTGAAAACTGAGGCTTTGATTATGTTCAAACATATCTAAACATCAAATATGTATATATGTAAACATGGTTTCCAAACAAGCAAAGTTGATATTCTGAAGTGCTACTGGGCACAAAATGACAGCGGAGCATTCTTTTGGTTTTCATTTATTAAACTTATTTTGTATGTTTCATTATTTACCAAGTAAATTTGCTTTCTGAATCTGCAAAAGAGAGCAACAATACTCCCACCCCACCATTTACAAGGACATCAGAGGAACTGGACAGTACTGGCAGTGTTTTGAGTGGGAAAGGGTGTGGTTTAACTGGTTTTGGTTGGAGGGGGTGAGAAAGTGGGAGGTTTGTGGGAGGGAAGGTAAAACACCGTCATCTGCCTCCACTTACCAGTCTGATGTGCTGCTGGCTCTTTGCAGCATCTCTAACAGCCATAACCACAAACTGTGAATGGATCTTCCTGCCAAGTCCAGCCCTGTTTGCTGTGTTTCCAGA